AAGTGCATACTTAAAAAATTTATATATAGTATAACCGAGAAAGAGGACTTTCAGAGAATATTAAATAAAGCTGAAGAGAAAAAAAATTAAAACTATAAATTAGAAATTAAAATTTGGTATTTGTTGCGTTTTCTTGTTTTTTAAATTTTATTTTATTAAATCTTTTGTTGTTGCGCGCGCATATATATTTTCTACATTTCTTGTTTCCTTTTTCTTTCAAATTTCAAATAAAATATACACGTTTTGCATTACACATGTATAAAAAACATAGCTAAGATTTCTCCCCTACTTTCAAGTCAGATTTTTGTACATACTAAAAAGTTCGCATCTTCTAAGTCAGAGTTTTGTACATACTAAAAAGTTTGCATCAAGAGAAAAAGAACAATAAATATTTTTTTCGTTATAATATTTTTTGTACACATTTCAAAATTCAATGTCAGTACTGAAAATCGGTGACACATTCAAGTCAAAAATTGTAGATTTTGCATACTGACAGTGTGAATCTTGAAAGACAGATAATTTGTATTATTGCTTTCCGCATTTGTTTCCAATGAAATAATAATTTGAGAAAAAACGCGCGAATGATCGATGATATACGTACGTGGAGTACATATATATATATATGCAAGAGGCGGAATCACAGACAGTATGTCCTATTACAGAAAAGCGATGCAGCAATGATACTCAACATCATTCACGCGCTCGATAACGTGCACAGTGAAAGTTTTGCGTGAGACGCACTTTTTAAAATGTATAACCGTAAACAAATCTAACAATGTGAACATTGCGTGATCGCGCAAAGAAAATCAGAGCTGATAAAAAAATCTAACAACGAATCGCGGACAGATGAAATTGTGTAACGGGGGGAGTAATAGACTGATAAAAACACAAAACTCGGATCTGCGACGATATATCTCCCTTATCTGTTTCTCGTGATTCACTCGATACTGTGTTCTAGCTTTACATATGTGCACGTAATTGATACGATTGGACGAGTGGCGGCAAGTTACAGTTGGTGAACAAAGTGCAAGGCTAGTGTGCAAGATTTTGGTTACATGTCATGTGAGACGGAGTGTGGAGTCACAGGACACTCAATTTAACTCACGTACCGTTTGCTATACCTATTTAAAGTACGAGGTCTTGGCTCGAGTGTGAGGTTTGTATCATTTTTTTTTTTTCACATAAATTATCAAAAGAAGTTCTGTGTGATGATGATAAAATAAATTTATATCGTGCTTTGTAGATCAATATTCACATGTGTATGATGTAATGCATACTCAACTATATGTGTTGTGTAATGCACCAAAGAGACAATAATTTTGTCTTAAAAATATTGGACAATATTCAAAATTGAAATATCTCACGTGTGCATATAAAGAAAATTGATTCGGAATCAATTAAAAGATGCAATGTTACACATGAATGTTTTCTTTTGTTGTTGTAGATAAATTGCAGACAGTGTTAATTACACAACTGAATTATGTTGCTCAACGTAAATAAAGAATTGGCTCCTATAAAGTCACATTATTTTCTGTTCAATGCTGGTAAGTTTATTTAAAATGTTACTGCTCTATATGCTACAGAAACTCTCTCTTTACGTTTTGTAATAATGTCACCTGTTTACAGCAACGGGACCAATGGTACAATTTCTTCCAACAATTGGAAAACAATTGGGTTTTTCTCCAACAATGGTTGGCATAATATACACAGTATTACCTATTTCTGGTTTAGTTGCAAAACCACTATTTGGCAGTTTGGCTGATAAGTTTAAGTTGCACAAGACTTGTTTCCTGATATTCCAAGCTCTATTAACAGTAGCATTCTTTTCCATTTATTTTATTCCTGAAATAGACAAAAGTGCAAATGTCACTCTTACTTGTGACAAGAGCATTCCGTTCATAGAAATTTGTCCCGAAAACAAATTTTCGGAAGATGCGTTAAGTCCTGTAATAACCAATACTCACAAAGACTCATTTTGTAAGGTATGTATAAATAAGTTTTGATCTCTCCTACATGTGTTTTATTTCAATAGTTAAATAAGTAATAAGGATATATTCATGTTTGTGCGTAGTTACTTTGTAAAGGGCCATCTCATGGCTACATAGAGATAAATAACAAGAATGTTTCTGCGAATGGCACTTTTGAATTTGGTGCAGGATTTGATGTATATGACGACTTGAATGTAAGAGAAATTCATTATACAGATAATAAAATCCAACACATATTTTATTATAAGAATAACAGTTAACTTTATATTACAAATAAAACAAAAAAAAAACAATTTATAGGTGGAATGCGTGAATGTAAGAGTGCGTACATTTGTAGATGGTGTCGCACATGTTCCCGCATGCGGAGACCAATTGAGAACATCGTGTACAGTAGTTTGTCCAACTAATAATGCGTTTAATTATCTGCTACAAGAAGCTAAGGATTCCCAGAATGATATGAAACATTCTACATATCAGTTTCACTTATTTTTATGGTTTGCCTTGTTAAGCTGGATTGGAATGGCTGTTGTAGTTAGCATAGCAGATGCAATCTGTTTTAGTCTTCTTGGTTTGTGTTATTTCTTAAAAAATAACGTCACTATTGAATTCAGCGTTTTGCAGTTTGTTTGTTTGTTTGTTTGTTTTTTTTAATCACTTCAGGTTATGAGAGAAGAAGCGATTACGGCAAACAGAAAATGTGGGGCGGTATTGGTACTGGTGTCTTTTGCATAAGCGCGGGCTACATGGTAGATTTTTTCAGCAAAAAACAACATGAGAAAGACTATAGTTGTATATTTTACATCATGTTAGTAGCCATGATCGGCGATATTATGGTGTCTGCAACACTAAAAAAGGTACAGAAGATCTAAATATGTAATCAATGAAACCAAATTTTGAACTAAAAAGGTGAAACAAAAGTTCCTGGTGCTTCTTATTTATCAAGAGAATCCAAAATTGGCAGGTAATGGGAGAAAGCAGTATCGTTACAGAAAAATCCTGAATGCTCTACGGACGAACCATCGTTATTGCGGGAGTTCTTGAACGTTATCAAAGAGGGAAGAGTATTAGTGTTTGCCTGGTGGTGCATAGGTGCAGGGATGTGCACGGGAGTCATTTGGAACTTCTTGTTCTGGTACACGGAAGACTTGACGACCGATGATACATGGATTAAAACTCTTCAGGGCCTTATGACTGGCGTTCAATGTTTCCTAGGAGAATTACCATTTAATTTTATGTCGGGTAACGTGTTAAAAAAACTCGGCCATATTAACGTCATGAGTCTCGTGTTGCTCATATATGCAATTAGGTAAGTAACAAGTTTTATTTTTGGTTTCTTTGTACATATCTATAAATGTTAAAATATATAAATTTTTCTTTTGCAGATTTATGGCATATAGCATCATATCAAATCCTTGGCTGTTCTTAATTCTTGAATTGCTCCACGGACCCTCATTCGGTCTGTGTTGGCCGACAATGGTATCTTATGGTGACAAAGTGACACCATCTGGTACGAAAGCCACCATGCAAGGATTTATTGGTGCTGTTTTTGAAGGAATTGGTTAGTTAATATTTGAGAGTGTTCATCCTCTCTTTCGGTTTTAGCATAAATCTTTCATTTATTGTTTTAGGAGTTGCAAGCGGCAGCTTCATATGTGGTCGCTTAATGGATATTTATGGTGGAGTTGTAGCAATGAGAAGTTTTTCAGCTGGTGCACTTGTGTGGTTAACCATGTTTTGGTTGATGGAACTCTTATTGCGGAAGATGAAGGCTTATCCTTTGCACCGAGGCCATAATCGTGAGTAACGATTATGTGGATATGTAAATATTGTAATAAAGCAAACAGTTATAGGAGAACCATTTTCTCGACTCGTAGTTAAAATGGTTTCGTATGTTTTGTGTAAATGTAAAAAAGTATAATATATATATATATATATATATATATCAGAGAATCATTAAAATTAAGATCGCGGAATTAAGATAAGAGGTATCTTGTGTTTGCTTCGTGTTTTTACACACACCAGTTAGGCATCTTTCTCTTACATAATGAACATATATAAAGTCTATATTCTTCCCGATTTCTTTCAGACTTAGCAAATTATGCCAATCCAGATGACGCTATTTTAATGACGATAAGTCAAGAATTGCAAACTTATTAAAATTATAAATTAAAACAATTTTACAACTTGTATGGTGTGAAAATATTGCATAGTTAAATCTTAACAAAATTATCGTTGTTTTTTTACTATAATTCTTCATATTGACAAAAATAGTGTCGTAATTTTGTGGTATAACGAATTTACTTATTCAGTATTATGTATTGTAAATTATACTGCACACGTTTTTACCATAATATATACTTTTGTAACATATGTTTTCTTGGTTATTTACCTTCGTGTTTTCATGCGAATAGATAAAAACTTCGCAAAAATATCCGGAAATATAACGTCGTAGATGTATACTTACAGAAGATTGAAAAGCTAAAGGGAAGGAATAGTTGGAACAACATACGTTGGGCAAGAACAAAGATTAATACATTACCAAAATTGGTCAGCAAAATATCTCAACCATTTATTCACTGTGAATTCATTTTCCAAGAGAGGAGATATATCAATGCTAACAAACTTAGCATGCCTGCTCGATTGCAACCAGTCAATTAGCACAACTTTTTTTTATGAATCTCATCTACTCTATCAATAAAAAGCTACAAATAACTTTCTTCTTATATGTGCCGCGAATCTTTGTCGCGGCCATTCGTTTGTAAACTTTGATAATAGTCCCGTATATTGTTTTGTAGGCGATATACGAGAAGCTTATGTCGAGGCAAACATTTCCGCAGCGTTAGTCTTGTTTTGACAATGGTGGTCGTTGAACGATAGAACGTGACGGTGAAGTGACTTGACTGCTACTTGGTACGGGTTCTATCATAGCTTGTAGATTCGGAATCTCGCCCGTTGAAGTGTCGCAACAATCGTTCATAATGATTCCGGCGCCTGGATGAATAAATGCGAGGCTGCCCTCACTGGACGAGGCCAAGCTGGTTGAGAGAGGTGGGGATCGCTCTTTAGGCGAAGCTGAAGAAGCGGGATTAGCCATCGGCGATGTATTGGAGTACGTTGCAGTCTCCAGTTTGCCGTGAAGCTCAAGTATACGACTCTCTAAAAGTAGAATTATTTCTACTTGCGCCTGATATTTCGATTCTACAGTTTCCAATTCAAACGCATGCCGATCTTTTGTCTCTTGCAAGAGTCTTTGGAGATTCACCAGTTGCGCTTCTGTGCGCGCCTCTTTGTTCTCTACCTCACTCAAACGTGCTTTCAGCGCTTCCAAGTGTGATGTTCGCGATTCCAACTGTCGTCGAATGTCTACAAAATAAAATTTTAACCGTAATTCATTTTTCTTCGAGAAATGATACTGGTTTGTGTTTGGACACACTTACTATTTAATTCTTCTGTATATGCTTTCTGAATTAGCGTCGTTTCATGCTTAACTGTTGGCGTAAAAGTAGCTATATTTTCTTCTAATTTCCATTTTGCCTGTGCACAATGATATAAATATTATTTCTGTGAATGTGCGATTTATTAAAATATTTGTAATTATTTAATTTAAAATAACTTTACCTCTCCTGAAAGAACAAATTTTTTCTGCATGGTATCCATTATACGTTCCAGTTCTTTAGATCGGTCCGCAGCTTCAAGTGCTGTCTTAAGTTGGTGTCCCGCGTTGAAAAGTTCCGCTTCAGTAGAACGAAGTTGTTGTTGTGTTTCCGTTGCTTTCTTTTGTTCACTTTTTAATTCTAGTTCAAGACACTCTAAGCGTTCTTTGAGTGTATGACTTTGTTGTTGTTCTTCGGTGCACTACGTATGCATAAAGTAATTAATTTTACACATATATATATGTATATAATTTATGTATGTACGCATATATGTATATGTATAGGTGGTTGGGTGTGTGCATAGAAATATAACTTTACAATTTTTTTTACAATGAAAAAATGAAATAGAGTTTTAAAACGTCATACTTTAGTTTGCCAATAATGCATAGCTTCCTTATATTGTTCCTCAGCGAGATGTGCTGCTTTTTTATTATGTTCTAATTGTGCTTTTAGGTCTTCAATTTCTCTCTCGAACAATTTTAAACGTTCGGTCTACAAAAACGTACAATCCAAAAATCGATCAGAAGTTGTATCAGAGCTTGATAAATATTATTTATGAATAGAATATATAAACGGACCAGAGCAACATTATGCTCTTCCGAAGCTCGTGAATCCCTCAATTTACCGACTAAACGCCGATTACGCTCGGCATAAACCTCTCGTCGTTGCCGTTCAAACTGTAGCTGCATTTGTGTAAGTTGAAAGTTGATTGATAACTGATTAGCACAAAGCGAATCTATACCATCGTCATCTCCTTTGTCCTCTTCGACATCTTCTTCGCCCTTCTTCTTTTGTTTCTGTCTGGCACCGTTTGTTCCTGTAAATACTCTGGTATGTTATCTCATTCGTTTTAAAAGTTTCGTTATTCTACATTATATGTATATGTTGTTCCATATTTACTAGTTTTGCTAGAGAAGTTATTCACTCTTGTACATGTCTCAATATACCGATCGAGCATGTTGATCGGCAACAGTCTTGAATCGGAACACTCTTGACTAAAGTTTTGACTGTTCTGATCTAACATTCCCAGCAACAAGTGTTTATACGGAAATAAATCGCATGTCTGGGTGCCAGCATTCTCAAACTTTTTCACTGATTTGGCTGTCACATCCTCGCTGTTATATTTTTTCTGCATTCTTATATCAGGACAAGATTTGGAGTGTCGAATCTGCGAATACAACATATGTTCTCGCTATAACTGCAAACGCAAAGTATTATCGCGCGCAACAATTTTCGAAAAGATTTCTTAAACTTATCTCACCGTGTGCGTTACTTTCGAGTTTGATTTTTCCACTGGATTCTGATATTGAGAATATAATCGAAGTTTATAAACCTTTTGCGATAAATCGGTTGTAGAACCGTACGTGTTTTTCTCACTTTGGTCTTCAGATTGCGATTCGATGTATTTTGGCATTTCAGCTACTCCATTGCCGTGCGAACTGACGATTTCCAAAACCTATATTTACAAATCACACCAATAATATGTTTTCTCGTTAATTTATCGTGTGCGTATTTAAATCGTTGACCAAACCTCTTGATCTTCTTGCCAAGAATCATTTTTCCCGTTCTGGCGCATAGCTATTTCTAAAAGCCTTTCGTTTTCTTCGTTATTACTCGTTACTTTTTGCGGCTGTAGGACACTTTGTCTGTCCATCATAATTTTGTTTAATTTATGAGACAGAAATCCGTGTGTACTTGTTGCCATATCCGTATTTCTCGCTCCTGAACCAGAATATAAACTTACAGGAGTGGGCGTTGACGGTCGAGAGGATGTGCCATTGCCTAATGCGTTCAAAGCACGTACCGCGCTAGATCCAACAGGCAGTTGTCTCGTTGATATCTTTCGCAAATCCTACATGTGCGAGAAATACGATATATAAAAATTCTTCTATATGTAAAAAAAACATTATCCGTCATACTTACCTTGACAGGAGTTGTCTCGGGAGTAGCTTCTATAGCAGCCTCAGGTGGAGAAGTACCGCTTCGGTTGTTATTAGGTGTTGGAGGAGCAGAGCGCGGCTCGTGAGATGTATTTTGAAACGGTGGACTATGTGGTGACATTGTCATGCTTGGTGACCAGAACGTATCCTCCTCTCCATTGCTCTCATTTATCTCTGTAGTTGTCACTCCCTCATAAATATTTATCGGCGCGCAAGTAGTGGAAGATTGATCTGTAGATACATAAAATAGAATGTAATTTTCATTTTTCATTTGAGAGAATATGCGCATAAATATGATAATAAAGCTGACCTAGAGGTGGAGTGCATCGAGAATTAGCTAAGCCTAATATTTCTTCTCGATATTTATCTAACGTAAAACGGCCACATTCTATCACAATATCGTGATGTTCCATCTTTTTCCATCTGTTACGCAATAAATGTATAACAATACTTTGTATAAATAATATACCGTAGCAAATATGAGATACATTGTATATATAATAAATATATATGTACATATATGTGTACCTAGTGGCTGAAATTTCCGCATCTTTGGATGCTGTAACAAGCAAAGGGTGCACACGCACAGAATCCAACATAGGTCTAATAGTATGAGTAAATATGGCCAATTGCTCACGTTGAACATACTGTTGCTTCAGGTATGACATAAAATTGCAAGGATACATTGCATACAGTCTATGAAACAAGTTGTACAATCCTACCTATAATAATATGACAAATGGTTTGTTAACTTCTTTTTATTTGTTAACACTTTGCTCACATATAAACAGTCATAAACACTTTACCTGCAAATGTATGAGATGCAAGTGATCCTTGCAGATGACATTTGTAGTCAAAGTAAAAGGAGTAGGAGAAAGTAAAGACAATTGATGATGATAAGAGGCCAATCGGCCAAATACCTCAAATATTTCTGGTAGATATGGCCCTAGAGCAGCAGGTAACATTGGTAACAACATTACTAATAAAAGAAGGGCACTCATAAGTGGTACTATATCTGCCTCCACCTTGAAAAATATAAAAATCTTGTACAACTATATATCTACTTTCTTTTGGGATGTAAGAGCTTACACACCAACATGTATCTATACATAGTATCAACTTTTTTATGTATTACGTATTCAAAAATAATTTGCTTATATATTTAGAGTATCAAGGACTAGTTATTAATACTTAATAATTTTATTTGTCTCTAAAATTTGTATCTAAAAAAGTAAGAGAAGCACGTATTACCTTAAGTAATTTGAGTAAATCTCTGAATAAAGCATGATTGGCTAGCTTGTACAACCAAGTTGGCTGACGCCTGGCTATAAGTCCAAGCAGTGTAAGTGCCTGTATTCTCTGTTTACTATTACTAGTAGGCTTTGAAAGAATGTCTGATAAACGATCCAACAAGTGTTTGTCATGCGGATCTCGAACTCCTGCTAATACTTCAGCCGTCCTTGCAGAATTTGTGGAAAGGTAATAATCAAATAATCCATTTATCAACCAACTATCCTTAGCTGCAGATAAAGTAATACAATTAGATATATAGCTATAAAACACACATGAGAACAAATCAAACGCACATATTGATACTTACTGCACAGAAATTGGTCGTGAAATACTTTCTTGATCTCCTCAACCTCTCCGAGCTTATTAGACTCCAAATGATGGAATAATTCGGCAACATTTGCAGGACCAATGTTCATATTGACGGCACAATTGACAGCTCGGCTCAGAGGATGCTATTTTATCATGATCATTTAATCAGGCTTTGGAAATTATTTTAACGATGTTGCTTTGAGCCGTATGCCATCTGTCATGCGAGATAGGCATTGTATGAAGCGACAGATACGCTAGAATACCTACGAGAAAAGATCTCGCGTAAAGAGTGGGCACAGATAACATGAAAGTCAAAAGATAACCCTGATCTACTGTGTACCAATAGTCAAGTTTGCAGTTACCAAGTGACCAGTAGTTGCAAACTCTTCTAACAATGGGAATTAAACTTAGGCAAGATTGAATCGACTGTTCTACCTGAAAGCGTCGCTGTACATGATTGTGCAATTATTCGCGTATAAATTATCCGTCGCTTTTATACAAATTGTCAGTGTGTGCATTTTTTTTTTTTTTCACTACACGAAAAAATTATCGGTCTCGCTCTATTGGAGTAACCCCGCGAAACTGTCATTTTCGATACTGACCGGTCAAACGCTGATCGTCGTGAAATGACACAATACGCGCTAGTTGCGTTTATCGAATAATCGCGACGAGTTTTCCGTGTTTTCAGACAAGCTAACAGAGCAAACTCACCCGAATTTCATCGAGTATTTCAAGCAGATTTCTGTAAGTTCTATGGCGACTGGCGAATTCGAACGGGGGTCACTTCCATATATCTTCTCCGGACCAGCTTTTGTGCTGCCATCTGACAGCTGTGGATACATTCGGAGACTGTACGGAGACTGGGGAGACGCAATTAGCGAATAGCGCTATGAAGGCATTTGGGTAGCCAATAAGATCGTCCACTTTGTGGACACGAGTTGTGCGCTTGACTGTACCGTATGTAACCTTAACAGAAATTGGTTGTCAAGAGTCAAGTGTCGAGAGTACGGAAGCGGGCGACAGCGCGAGAAGAGTTCACTCACCGGAACTGACCGGAACCAATGACGTTATTTCAAAGGAACAAACAGTTGAGACAAATATATAATCTGTGCATGATGTAAAGAAAATGTTTTTTTACATCATGCGTCAGTATACGCGCATCCACTCTGCAATACTACAATGTCAGCTGTCTGTTTGTAATTGTGTATTTTGAATTTTAGCTATGCAGGTCTTAAAAAAATGTCCGAGACAACACTATGCAGCGCTCAATCGGGTATTTCATTTCTCACCCAAGAACGTTTATCTTCCACGGGAAAAATTTTGTTGCAACGTTAAGTACCCGAGTTGTGCGCATAATAATGGAGCGCACAGGTTACTGCTTCCCATGTCTTATCACGCAAGTATCTATTGGGAATGTTTGTGATTGTTTTCTCTTATTTGTAATGTATTTATTATAGTTTTTATATATTTAGGTAATTTTTAATTTGTCTCAAAAAAACAATTTTTATATTACAAAAATATCATTAATGGGAGTGTATCTAATTTTATAGGTTTACAAAAAAATATACAAAGAACTCCAAGCTATGCAGGTTGCGTTATTGTCTGGCAATTTTAGTTTCTCTCCAAAAACCAACACCATTCGATATTTTAATACAACGTGTAGCAATTCCAACAAGCAATCATCCAAAGAATCAAGTTCTGGAAATTCTGACAAGGAACCTGATAAAAATGAGGAAATGAGAATACTTATGCGTAAGATCACTATATGGGCTGTGATACTGTATGTTCTCTTAATTGTGTTAAAACAACAGATGGGCACAAGTACAGAAGTAAGTTTTTTTTTTATCACATTTAACAGTTAAAAACATCGGACATTATTGTTTGCTTATAAGCAGTGTTTCAATAGCCAGCAGCTTCTGTGTCTTGGAATGAATTTGTATATGAGATGTTGAGCAAAGGAGAGGTTGAAACAATTATAGTAAATCCCGCTATTGAACACGTTATAATTATGGTACACAATGGTGCTATTATTAGGGGAAGGAGGACTCCCTTTAAGAGATATCACATGGCAGTTCCTAACATTGAGAATTTTGAAGAGAAATTAAGAAAGGTGGAGAAAGATCTTGGCATAAAACCTGGTAAAGTATCTACAATATGTCAAACATACAACTGGATTGTACATTTTCATTAATTCTCTTCACGAGAAAGGAAAGAGATGATTAGCTATCTGTCAATCACGGCAGCAGGAAAGTAAAGTATATAACAGTGAAAGTTTTCTTTTCCTCTCGCCGAAGCGAATTATTGAGCTTTTGTATTTCTCAAAGTGTTCATTATATATAAAATAAGAATGAATTTCAGGCCAAGAAGTACAAGTGATTTATGAGAGAAGACTGGAATATGTAGCGAGTATTATAAGATTTTTGCTTATTGGGTTGCTAGCTATGGCTGTCCTTACCTTTATGAGAAAACGTTTCTCTTTCAAACCCATGGAGTTTATCTCACAAATGAAACAAGCAAAGTTCACTTTGGTGGAACCGTTAATGGGGAAAGGTAAAGGTGTACATTTTTCGGACGTAGCTGGATTAAAGGAAGCTAAGATTGAAGTAATGGAGTTTGTCGATTATCTCAAGCATCCGGAACGTTACAGAACACTTGGCGCTAAGGTGCCGCAAGGTAAGTTTAAATGTACATATATGTGTGTGTGAGAAACTTAATAATAGTTAAATTAATATTTTTAATTTTAAAAAATTATGGATCACATGTCTCTTATTTTCAGGCGCTCTGCTTCTGGGACCTCCCGGTTGCGGTAAAACGTTGCTAGCTAAAGCTGTAGCGACCGAAGCAAGCGTCCCCTTTTTATCCATGAATGGTTCCGAGTTTATTGAAGTATTCGGTGGTTTAGGCGCTGCTCGTGTCAGAGACTTGTTCAAAGAAGCCAAGAAAAGGTTCGATTATTTTATTGTCTTTTTGAAGCTGGTTTGTAATATCTCTTAATATTTGTGTTTTGTAATTCTTTACAGAGCACCTAGTATCATATATATCGATGAAATCGATGCAATAGGTAAAAAACGTTCTGAAGGTTCACTTGGAGTCAGTAACAGCGAGTCTGAACGAACATTAAATCAGCTTTTAGTAGAAATGGACGGAATGATAGCAAAAGAAGATGTTATTATATTGGCTTCTACAAATAGGGCGGACGTGTTGGACAAAGCATTGTTGCGACCCGGCAGATTCGATCGGCACATTTTGATCGATCTTCCTACGCTAGAAGAGAGGCAACAAATTTTCGAAACTCATCTCAAGAGAATATCTTTACAAAGTGAACCTTCAAAATACTCAGGATATTTAGCTTATCTCACGCCAGGCTTTAGCGGTAATATAGCCTATATTTATTTATAAACACAAATGTTTCACATGTTATCTTCATCTGTTACACCAACTTTAACTTATTTCCAGGTGCTGATATAGCAAATGTCTGCAACGAAGCGGCTTTACACGCCGCGAGGGACAAAAAGAAACAAGTTGATGGTAGCGATCTTATGTACGCGATTGACAGAACAATTGGCGGTTTGACAAAGAGAAATAACCCATTGACGCCATCTACAAAACGAGTCGTTGCTTATCACGAAGCCGGTCACGCTTTAGTGGGCTGGTTGTTGGAACATACCGATGCCTTGCTCAAAGTGACGATAGTACCGCGAACCAACTTGAATCTGGGATTTGCACAGTACACTCAATCCGATCAGAAACTTCATAGTAAAGAGGAACTTTTCGAACGAATGTGTATGATGCTCGGTGGCAGAGTTGCAGAGTATATTACGTTTGACAAAATCTCAACGGGCGCGGAAAACGATTTGAAAAAAGTTACAAAAACAGCCTATCTTCAGGTGCAACAATTTGGAATGAGCCCAGCTGTGGGTTTAGTTTCTTTCAACGAGGAATACACTGATCCGGTACAGTATAAAATATTTTTACATAAATATTTAAAATATATATATATATATATATATTACTTTTTTCTTGTAGAAAAATAAAAAGCCATATAGTAAAAAATTGGCCAATTTAATGGATGCCGAAGTGAGGAGAATAATAGGAGAAGCGTACGAACAAACTCGACAGTTACTTTTAAAGAACAAGGACAAATTAACTGTGGTATGTGTATATATATATATCAAAAAATATTAAAACAAATAATCAAGTAATCAAATAATATTAAAAAGAATATGTAACATATTTCTGTCATATCAACAGCTTGCAGAAGCTTTACTAGAAAAAGAGACATTGACGTATGATGATGTGGAAAAATTAATCGGACCACCACCGTTTGGGAAAAAGCGACTTGTCGAGCCGGCAGAATTCGAAAAATCCGGGCCAGCGAGAGAATCCCCATCAGTAGACAGGATAACGGCGTAAAACATGTGTTTTATTATTTTTGTAGATATTTGTATAAAAACGTAGTATGATATAAAATATCTCAGGTTTTGATAAATTATTTACAAGATATTTGATTTAAAACCTTTTAAAAGTTCATCTTCATTGACTTTTAAAGTTGATTTGTTTTTTTATTTGATCTTGAGATGTTGAGACAATTTTTTTCGAGATTTTTTTTATGTCATCAATATATATATGTATATACACACAATCGCCATTATCGTGCTTTGCAACTGTTTATTTAAATAGTAAGAGAATAAATAAAACAAGAAGAAATAGAATAATTATACTTTTATTTATCAGATAAGGAACAAAACTTCGCTATATAACATAACAGCGTTGGAAATCTATAAAATTTATATATACAAATATATATTTTCGAGAAATATATATATGTACATAGAGTTATAAAAATCTACTAAAGATCTTAGATTTTTTACATTATCACTGTTTTTGTTGCTTTAAGTCAACGTGGGTTTTTTCTTCAATAAAAAATACATGCACGTATTTTTATTATGTAAATATATGTAATATATGAATAAAATATATATATATAATTTTGTGTGAAAAATCAGAATATAACATTATATCATGCACATCAAGGTAAAAGTTTCAGTTAAAGATAACTTTTTTTGATTTTTCTTTATTTGTTTTCTTAATCCTTTCTTTGAGCATATATCTCTTTCTCAAGTTTTTCTTATCACACATTTACTTACTCTTTAACGATTAAATCTTTGATAACACCATTCAAAGCTCGTTCCAAATGTGAGCCATCCCAATATACCTTGCCACAATGTTCGCAAATATAAAATACTTGCACGTTTTTCAAGACATTTATGGGGACTTTGTCAATTTGTATTCGCATCTGATACTTAGTTGTACATGTTGCTACATCGACTGTACCCGTGGACAGGTTCCACGTGCGATGCTCACTGTTCGTGAAATAATTCGGATTTCGAGGCAGCTCAAAACTGTCGCTCGAATTGTAATCATCGTTTTTCGATAGATTATCGGGCATACTGTCAGACGAGAGCCGATAATTGTTCATCTTTATAATCTTGGCAAAGCTAATTAAATATAAAAATTGTTTTTTTATCGTGTAAAAATATAAAAATAAAAACATTGTACAATTTATACATATATCGTGAAATTTATATAGATATTTCGAGTCATTAAAAATGTCACTTACTTTTGTACAATATCATCCATTAATTTTTTTGGAACTTTCACAAATTCGTCGCAGTTACATATTTGACATCGGCTAAAAATATCATTTTGCGTGACCACAACACCAAAATGATTCAAAACTTCGCGTAATTGTTTTTCAGGTGTGTCAGCGATTATTCTATAGCAACTCTCTAACGGTAGATATTGCTGAAACTGCGTTAGAGATATCATTAGAATAAAAGTTACACAATTAACACGTCAAAATAAAAGATCTAAAATATGATAATAAAAACACTTTACTTTTTCACAGTTTTTGTTACGTGTCAGAAAAACTCTGTTCTCACGCATTGCCAATTTGGCCGAATCGTCTCCGCCCTGATCAAATAACATATGCATGCAATCCACACCGCACATTCGCAATTTGATGCTCAAGCCACCTAACATCGAATCGCATACAACACGCCACGTATGAGCGGCGATTGAAAATTCATGTTGTCGTGATACAGATTGTCCATTTGTATTAACTTCATTTTGTTTCATCTTGCTCCGGATATCTGGTTCATTCTGAAACTCTTCCCCTTTATCTTCCCGTTTCTCATATCTATTACAGTTACCGTATCTATTTTGATTGCCACCTCTATTCTGATTATTGTATCTACGACCATCAAAATTATCGTATCTACGACCGTCATAATTATAGTGTTTATGACTATCATAATTATCGTGTTTACGACCATCATTATTATCGTGTCTACGATAGTTATCGTATTTTCTATAATTTGTAGGTCTTCCACTGTTAATTGTTTCATTATGCGGACGTCTATTCTGATTATATTGTTTATAATTATTCTGTTTTTTATAGTTAAGTTTCTCAATTAGCGGATGCCTGAAGAATCCTAAATAAGGTACACTCTGATTATTATCATAATTATCGTTGTTTCTTCGTTGACGCGTCTGTCTAGCGTCGTTAACTAATCCAATATTTGGATACTTCTGATTATTGTTACTTTGCGTGTATCTTTGATTTTCGTGTTTGAATGTAGGTCCGTATTTAGGTGCGATATTCTTCGGTGAAGCGCCCAAGTTTGCGCGATAATTCTCATTGCTTTTATTATTTGGTAAATTCAAATACATAGGTTTCTATAAAAAGAGATTTTAATGGCAAAAAACTGTGAATTGGCAATTAATTTATAAATATGTATTTATGTATGCGCATATACACATACATAAGCTAGATCAATAATGTAAAATAATTTTATTGAAAATATTAATGGATGTGGCAATCAAAAATAGAAGCAGCAAAAATACTTTTCTAGATAATATTCTTTATTTTTTGTACATACATGTTAAAAACAAAAATAAACATAAATGTACTTTAATGTGTGTTTAAAAATAAACACTATGTACTCACTATGGTCACTATTATAGTGAACTATCGACATCAACTTAGCAATTTTGAATAAACAAAAAAATATAAAAATAATTAGTTTTTCTTATTATCTTTTGCCACTTTATGTTATTGCATAGCGTACACATTAACATGAATTTATTGTAATTTTTTTATACCTTGTTTACAGGCACAAACTTATTTGTGTTTCCTTTGATTTGTGTGTGTCGAATATGCTGAATCTCAGCACAAATATCATCAAATGGTATTTCCATATTCAATGAAAATTCTCGTAGTACGTCATATATCTCCAATAAACAATATGCATCCAATGCTGTAAAATATAACATAGATACGAAAATATTTTATACTTCTTTTAATCTTTTTCATAATAAAAAAAAAAAAATTACCAACCAGCGTATATTATTTGACTTTCTCTCAATGGTCTCAGCTCCCAGTTAGAAAACTGATCGGATTTGTCAAGTCTTTGTCCAAAACATAATTCAACGAGTTTACTTAAGCTCTTGCCCGTAAAATTTGAATCGCCTTTGTATGGAAAAACAAAATTGTATTCTTCCACTAACTTCCTCCACAAAAGCATTAGATCTAAATAACCTTGGCCATATGTTTTGACGGAAGATAAAACAGGTAAACTGTTACGAATGACTGTCATGTCATTTGAAATTCCAAATCCTATGCATGATGTATAAAATTAGTTTTTAGAGAGAAAGAGAAAGAGAGATACATGTTAGTCAAATACAATAAATATAGCATACGAGATACTAAATGTGACACACTATGCAAACACATATACACACACACATATATAGTTTATACATATATAAAAAAAAGTAAATAAGATTCTATTCTTCAAACATTAAAAGCATATACCAATTTTGATAATATTCTTGTTCTCAAATAATGTGAGACCAAGTTCGGCCCAAAGTTCACTTAATTCATTACCAAGCGTAGTTACATCTAATATATAAACATTATCTTCGGTTGCTATTTGCATAAGAGCCAGTTCTGTTTGTTTAGTTCCTGTAGAGATATTATGTTAATACTTTTAAGTAAATCATATCCTCAAACTTTTTTTGTACTCAAGCATTATTTTTACCAAAACTAGGTTTCCATTCTAGATCAAGTCCAACCATATTTACACATTTCAATCCATTATCAAGGAATTCCTCAAATAAACGCCCGTTATCTATCACTTTGATAGATTCTCTTGGTAATTTTAAGATATGATAATGTATGTTATCTTCAGTACTACTGCTACCTGCTTCCGAATGTTCGTCTCTACTTGTGGACGCTCCTTCTTCGCTCTCTACAAACTGTGATATTAAAAAGCTATTCCGTTTAATACACAAGCATAAGAAATACAGATGAAATCATTACTTTGTTCTCCCGCAAATACTATGGCCCATGGCCATTGCTGTTTAGGTATATTATATTCTTTTGCCCAATATAATCCTTCTTCCGCATCATTAACATGAGTCAACATTGGGAGTAATTCTATTTGTAATTTAGTATCATTTCCAATGGCCTCTCGTACCATTTCTCTCCAACTTGCAACATCTATAGCAAAGAACAAAAAAAGTTGACATTTATTTTTATTTTTAAAAACAGTTACTCTTTATAAATCACCACATATGAAGTGGATATTTACTTAAGCTACCATCCACATAACGCTTATGTATAAGAAACTGTAAAGCGCCTTCATTTCGTTTTGTATTTAAATGAGGGCAAGAATCTGGTGATAAATTGTATTGTTTTATCAGACGTGCAATAAGTCTGCTTAAGGAACGACCTTGTGCTAGTGATACTTTAACTTCTGGTATGTCATTTTCACTGAAAAGATTCAATCCAGAATTGATTTTAATCTAGTGCCAGATGACCAAATACATTATTACTTACAAAACAAATTGTTCAAGAGTATGTTCTATATTTCTTCCTGGTGCTATTAAACTGTCTAGATAAGTTATTAAAGTATTTTGAATATCTGGACAATCAACTAAAAATTCATCTACTACTTGTTGCTTGTTTTGTAATATAAGGGGTAATAATAAAATTTTTGGATCTGAAAAGTGCTCCTGTAATTGCAGCATTGCTGCATATTGTGCAGCTTCTTTGTAATTTTTGTTACGTAACATTTCCTAGAAAAGATATATATATATAAAGCACATAAATAGTTAAACTACAATAAGTAAACTATACCTTTATTTCTGGCAAAAATATATCCTTATGGTCCACAAAACTGTATGTGGTAGATATTTTCTTGATCAGAAGCAGTTGTTTCATATGTTTCTGTCTTACTAATTTGAAGGTTGCTAACTTCAAATCAGGTACAAGAAATTCTGTATATCCATGTTTTCTTTCTTCCATCCAATTTGAAAATTCTTCTATCACTAAAAAGTATATAAAATATATAAGAGTAAAGTTGCTTGTTGTGATGATATATTATTATTTCTTGTAAAATAAATTCTTTTTTATAAATAAGAAATGTGTTTTTGATAACTTATTTATAATTGTGCAAAATATATTTCAAATGTGTTATTCCTTATTTTTAATATAAGATAAAAATACTAATGCTTTTGAAACCTTATTAAAATTGAATTACTAGTTTTCTAGATATATATGTATATATAGTATATTTTTTACTTGTGTGTGCTATAAAATAAATATTTGAATTTCTATATATAGTTATAATATAAATTTATATTGAAGTAAATATAAAACTATTGTGTCAAAAAACTATAATTAAATAAATAAACGTAAATAAACAATAAACAAATAAATCTAAGTTAATAACTAAACCTGCATATGCAAGTGATTTGCTGTTTGTATTTTGATCAAAATCTTTGGTATTGACAAGAATTCTTAGTGTGCTGAGATATGGATTTGGTGCTGTTTCAAAGTAATCCGTTAAAGTTTTGCTTACACCATCACATTTTTTCCCTGGAATTAATATAACAAGCGGTAAATATACAAGTAAGTGACAACACTTGTTTAACATGACAAACGATGTACATAAACTTACACAACCCCCACATTCGATGTAGAGTGTCAAGCCAAGATTTTGTGGCCTCGTCTATAGACGAGAAGAATAATAAATCCATATTACCGTTTTGATAATAACTTGTTTAAAGTTGTACTAATTCTAATTTTATCAATCACCTAATCCTTGCGTTTCAAGTCACAGATTTTTTACTATCGTTAGAACTACTTAAAAACTTGACGATAAAAAACACTCTGAACACATTACCAAGAGTCACGAAACGATAAAATAACAAAACTATATAGTATTCTTTTGCCACGACGCAACGATATTTAATACCTATTGTGACTCGTGATAAAACCAGGGGGTTTTACCTACTATACGTCACACTCTCTGAAGTTTGCGCCATTTGTTTTGTTTCTTGGTCGGAAAAATTGAAAGGAGGCCATCCACCGAAGCACAGTCTCTTGCTTAATGTATAACGCATGTAACGTAAGAGAATCAACCAATCAGAGTCTTCCAGAGCGAGAAATGGAAATGGAAATACAATACATAGAAGGCTGGATTGGTTAAATCTTTGACTATAATAATATATGCCCCCTGTTCCGTTATTACTGGCAGTACTGAGAATTTATAGGTTCATGTCACGTATCCTATAGATTGTTCAGTACTGCCAGTAATAACGGAACAGGGCCATGGACTGCTAGTAGCTAAGGCCTGGTTTATGCGGGCCTAAACTTTTAATATTTCTGCTTATACGCATTCGGCAATTTCGTATAAACAGAAGCATTGAAATCCTATAGTTGAACTGTACCAGTTCCAGCATAAGGTAACAGTTATTACTCGCATAAACAAGGCCTAAACAAGGCCTTATTTGCCCACATAAACCAGGCCTAACTATGCTTACAGCTTACGACTGTATTGTAGAACAGGCCTTAAATTCTTATCCTGACCGACTATGAACGTAACCGATCAGGATGTGAACCTCCTAGCCGGTCAGGATGTGAACCTAATCGGTCAGGATATGAACCTGACCAATCACTATGTGAATCTTTTTTTTTTTTTTAATTGAGTATTTTACGTGCCTTTAGCTACTCTAGGCTATTAAGACACATCTACTGTCGAAGTCAGTTGAATTTTTTATACTTTTTCATGGGAGGGGTTGTTTGCAGTACCAGAGAGAAGTCTGAGAGCAACCAGGCCCATAAGAGAATGTGTCATCACTTTTCCGCCCCGTAAACTAGCGCATTGTCCACGAGTGGTACACATTGGAACTACGCAGCCAGTCCACGAGCGACATGTCGGTGCGCTATGTCCACAGCGTGTGCGGTTCTATTCTGTGCTATGTGCACGAGTTTAAATGGTCACTTTCTTTAAGTGTGTGAGTATATTCGAGAGCGTGAATTTGATTTTTTTTGAAATTTAAAATGACCGATCTCGTGATGAGAAGATGAGAAAGGAAAACAGAAAAGGATAAGAAAAAACCATTGCAACTTTTCGTACAACATAAATGTGATATACCAGAAAAGATGTGATAGTCAAGAAAAGAATTTTATTTTAGCGAGCAACATCAGAATTCGTGGAGTGTAGTCAAATATCATCTCCTTTTACATCATCATTTGCTGTGCTCTGTGCTTTATAAATTTTATTTTATTTTCTTAAAAACACTACATATATATAGATACAAAATACACAAAAAACCATGTATATTATACAAAGGTGTTTTAACGGTACACAAATATAATGTCTGAAAAGTTGCAATTCCAAGAAATATAGCTTTCGTGCTTTTTTATTTAAAACTCTTTATCAATGTGTTTTCTAATTCCAAGTTTC